TATGTACAGAAGAAATGCAATTTTAGAGTAGAAACATGACAGTTGTTTTTCTATTTATTTGTAAATTAATTTATTGACTTATTTATTGCCCAGTGATGTATGCAAATGGTTATTTTAACCTTTCTTGTCATGTTAGTGGCCCCTTCCAAGTTTGCAATCAATACCTCCTGCCTTTGTAACCTATTTATCCTTTTAAGAAAAAACTTACACTTTCAAGCATGGTGTTGATTAAATAATGTGTAACCTTTCACCTCACATAGTAATTCTTAAATCCCTAAAAAATCTGTTGACTGACAAAGTTTTGTAGTGAAACTTTCAACGTTTCCAACTTTGAATGGTGTTAACATTAACACCTTTGCAAAAAGATACACACTAGCTTGTTCTGTAAACTTCTCTGGAGCTGGTGATGTGTTCGTTCCACTGATTTCAAACATTCACCTTAGGATAAGTTGAATTAAGCACACAGGAGCCTATTTCTCTTACAGGAGTGCCAGGGGATTCAAGATGCCTAGCCTAGATATACCACAGCCATTCCAGACAATCAAAAGTGGAGAGAGACTTCCATGCAAGTAGCTGGAAATTACAATCAAGATGAGGGAGCAACTGCTTACAAGGTAAAATTTACAGAATCAAATGAAAGAAAGATCATTTTAGGCTACCTACCATAGTCTCTCTGATAACACGAGCATTTATACAACAACAGCAAACATGATGAAATTTACATAACTTCATTAGTCTAAGCAAACAATTGCACTTAGTCCCAGAAAGAGAGCTTCTGCATTCCTGGGGAATAGACTGGATGTTGTGAAGCATGCTAAAGACAGTCTTTTCCACCTCTGATTTCGATGAGAATCCTAGCTACAGCAAGGCTACAAATTCAGGTAATTTTTGAATATTTCCTGTAATCACAGACTCATGGTGAACTGAGAACTATCAATTCTAGCGGACAAAAAGGGCAGTACAGAATTCTGGGTATAGCTTAAAATGTAACCCATTAAAAACAATGGTAAAACTCTACTGACTTAATTGGGTTCTAGATTAGAGCTTTAATAACCAGTGTTGTGAAGCTTTCCTGGAAGGACATGACAGGAAATAACCGAACAAACAATTGCAGTGTTGTCAGTCCCACTAGCAGGATCCTTGCTTTTTTTTTTTTTTTTTGCTTTTAGTAAAATAAGTTGACTCAGACTAATGCAAGGTCTTGTCCTAAAGGTGACGACAGCAGTCCACGCCCAAAGAATAAAACTCTTAGTGGTTCAGGCCTCCAGAGCCTTCCTCCCTTTGTTTTCTGATGGGAGAAACAACTGTTTACTATAGGGTAAGATAAAAATCAATACACATGGTGGATAGCTCTGCATCCCACTCGGAATACTCCATAGAGACTCTTTAGCCCTAAAACCATGCAGCTCTGGTCCTATCACTTCAGTCCTCAAACTGCTCCTCCTCCTTTTGGAGGATTACCAAGCTCTGGAATGTCATCATAAAGTAGCTTGAACTATTACTGCTCTGAGGATGTACCAGGGCATGCTGAACTGTCTATTTAGCAACTGTCTGGGGAGTTAAATTCCATTTTAAAACCATACTAATACATTTTAAAAAGAAAAGCAGTCCAATTTATGTTGTGCATTCTGACAGAAAACACTCTGAATAAAACCAATACCGAGCTTAATCTACGACTACATTTTGCATGGGTTATTTTGTTAAATTTCTTATTCTACGTACAAAAGGAATTGGACACTTTCAACATGAAAAGCTTTCCTGCTTTTAAAAAAGACAGTTATTTTTTGTGTGCACCATCTACCTTTCTTTAATCCCATATGATTGCAGCTAACAGGAGTAATTTGCCCTGCATTAAGTCTGTAAGTAACATGGATACCTAAGTCTTTCAAATGTGTTTCATCAACTTCTGTCTTAATAGTGACTGATATGTTTGCTTTATGGGGAGCTGCCGCTGTGCAATCTTGTCTACCGCTGCTCCTTTTTCCCCTGCATTTCACATCTAAATTGTTCAATAAATATAATCCATAAGAGAATATCTATCTTCGCTCTTCAACACAGGAATTATTCAGTTTTACTTGTGGCAGACATTCTTAATACTGCAAAACAATGTATAGATAAAGCCAGAAGTTTTGTCTGAACTTTGACAGATCAGTAGAATTGTGATGGACTACATTTTTACTCATCTTTTACAACAATCTGCTACAGTAGCTTTACATTTAAATTTTGATTCTGTTCTTTCCTTTTTTCCTACCCATTAAATAACTCCAAAACCCAGAAAAGAACCTCACAACATGGAAAGAAAATGTCCTACCTTCCTCACAGTTTTCTCCTTTATAGCCAACAGAACAGACACAGTTCCCTTCGATGCAGGAACCATGACCTCCACATGAGGGATCAATACACTGGCTGATGGGTACATCACATTCTGGACCTTTCCAGCCACTGTAGCATAAGCAGGTGCCTTTAGAGTATTGACCATTGCCACTACACAGAACTGGGCAGGCAGCTGGAAAACGGAATGAAAGAAAAACAACATACAGGTTCATACATGCATTTATGTAAAAGTGCACTAAAAATCCACTGCCAAAGACTTATACATATATTCAAATATGTTAATTTACTGGGGAAAAAAAACTAAGATGATTTGTAGTAGTTCAGTTTTTCATTTCCCAAAGAAATAATTTGATTATTATTTATATTATTTAATAAAGCACACATGTGTTGGGCATTCTGAGATTACAACTACTATTCTTTATAGACTATTGATGATGTCTGGGATAACTAATGAGCTAATGTGAACAGATTTGAGTCTGACATTACTCTGCTTTGTTCTGCTAGGTAACATCCAATTTTCACAGACAGCGGAACACAAAACATTCAGCCCCCAGAACACTTTATTATACAGCATCTTTCTTCTTCCATAACAGTTTTTAAATGTAATGTCCCCAAATTAGTTTGTTTTGTTTTTTTATTTTTTTTTAGCCTAAGAATCTTGAACACAGGAATAACACAAGCTTTCATTTACAACCAATGCACTTTGCCACCAATATCCCTGCTG